TTCTAAATTGTAATGATAACAGAAGAACAATATTTAATTCGAATTGAAAAGAATTTAATAATATCCATGTTTAATACATTCTGTCAGGAATGAATAATATGAACCCCAGAAAAAGCGGTTAAAGAAAGTTCCATAAATTCTATCCAGTATCTCAAGGAAACTATCAGAAAACGTTTTCTATCACATTTGTGAGTCACAGAAGACAAGAAAAAGGAAAGCGCACCATAGACATCCGTATTGAAGTTAAGGGTTGAAATTTCGCTGGGGGGTGATCGTCGCGGTGTCGCTCGGAGAACGCTCGCAATTAGAAAATGCAAAATTTACCTCGTCGGAGACGGCAGCCTCGCGGCGTCTAGAGTTTCGGAGTCAAGGATCCTTGCCAGCAGCGTTTCACGTCACTGGACACTATTTTTCATGCTCGCCGAAGGCAGTCGCGGGGTAACCGCGAACGCTTCAGACGTTCCTTCGCCCGTACAAAGCCGTTGCGCCGATGAATGGGACAACACTGCCGAGGATCGTGTGCGCAGGGTTAATTTTAATGTGTGTTACGCGCCGTTCGAAGGACGGACGCTACTCCGACCGCGACCGGTGACAAAAGGGTTCATTTAAGGCTACTCAAACTGAAACCGTGCACCGCAAGACGTGTGAAAGAAAGATCGAGCATATCTTGCCACTCGAATTATCTCGGCCCCATAAATGTACTTCGTACTGAACACAATATTCGATCGTTTTTATCTGTTGTAGTTTCTTGTACTATTTCATTTTACACGGTATTTCTATTATTCAGCAGGGAATATTGAAATAATCAATCCAATTTTACTGGTTTCAAGTAAATTCTTGAATATTACAATTTTTTATAAAGATTTAGTTTATCAAAATATAGAAGTAAACTGTTGTAGATAATGACCTTAACCCTTAGCACAATTAAAAATTGGCAGATAGTGAGAAACAATTATTAACAACAGATTTACAGATTTTGGTTGCATATTGTTTGCATTCTATTGTTTTTAGAAAAGTAGTCTTAATATAGTATATTCAAATGTCTGAAATTAGAAGATTGACTAATACAGCATTATATATATTGAATCCTTTATGAAATTAATTTCTTAATAGCTAATCGAATATTATGTTCGAATAATTGTATTAGAATTATATTAAAATATTTTAACGACAAGGCTCCAGGCAATCGTGTAAATTGGAGTAACGTTTTCCGAAGTATCCATAAATATTAGAATTATATACAAGGAAATAAAAATATTGAAATAACGTAAAATCTATTCCCTCTGAAAACAATTCGCATACGAGTGAGACAGAGCAGATATTACATACACCACTGCATTCTATTTTCAAGCAACGAACTCGATCTTGAGCAATCAACAAAATCATTAAGCATGAAAACGAATCTCTCGTTCATATCAAATGAACTGATATTAATTTTCATATACGCTGTACATTGGACAGTTATAAAACCGTTAAGATTAAATTGGATTATATTGATATGACGGAGTATGATAAATGTTAGGAATAAAAATATTAACACACTAATATCACTACACAATACGTTCGTTTTATCTGGGAACATGCAAATATCTCGAAGCCAATAAATAACGATACAAGTTGTACAACCTTTATTCCAATTTAATTTAATTTAAATCAATTTAAATTAATTCAATTCAAATAAAACACCATATATGCATTACGCTCCGAAGATTATAAAAACAAATATACTAGAACATATTTGATTCAAGTCGTCTCAAAGCACTTAAAACAAAGGTACCAGTAAATGGAATAAAAACGACATAACAACACCACAGAAATAAAAATTTCCAGGTAATGAAGCTGAACAAATTCTTAACTCCATCTTTCCGGTAGTTGTAGATACTTCACCCTCTACGATGCCACAATAAAAAGGAATTACGCGGTACAGATAAATCCAAAATCAATTCTATAGTCGTGCTAAGATTCGCCGAGTCAAGAATCAGAAAAGCTACTCAAAGTCGGAAAGAACCATCGTAAATCCAACTCCGTCCGAAGCGAAACAGTTTCCTGGGATAGGGACAACGCGTTTGCCGCTATAAATCGGGATCAATTGCCATTCTATCCCGGCCTGTCGCCTTTTTCAATTTCTCTCGCTAGCAATTTTAGGACAAGAGGTCCGCCGATAGGAGTTCAGTTCTGGAGTAAACATTCGGCTGGAAACACACTGCTCGGAATCAGTGCGATTCCTCGAGAATAAGGCTGGCCGCAAGGAACCAATGGCTCTCGTTAAAACCGTTCACGTCGCACCTGCTGACGCGTGACTTGAATTCCGTGAGCCGAAGGATTTCGCACCTGCTAGCTGCCCGGTTAGAAAAGGTGCGGGTCAACCAAGTGGTGCAGGAAAGCAATCTAAAAAAAGGTAGGGAGCCACGAAAACCAGGTGGAAAAATATGACGGGTGTTCATTGATGTTCCTTGCTGGTGACTTTGCTGGCGGAGCTTACAAGGGCGTTCGAATAAAGGGACTTTATCTGGAGTTAACCGCGAAATACAAGGCGAGTTTTTGTACTCTGTTTTGGACACGTAACGTAGTATAGCGTACCAAGTGATGGTTCTATAAGCAACAATAAATTAGAAACGTGGAATTTGTTGATTTGTAGCTTCGTTTTCGGGTAAATCAAGTTTGAAATTGTTTTAAACGGTAGTTACTATATTGTTGATCGGCAATTATACACAGGAGCTATCCCGTGTCACCGGTTATTATTCCGTAATTAAATATGAAAGTTGAAACAATCTAAATAAACTCCAATATACTTTATTTATACATAATGGAATGAAATGAAACTCTGGACATATCTTTTATATAATTTTGAATATTTTGCTTTTGCAATACTCTATATTGACCTGCGTTTCAAAAACTGAAATAGCTAATGCAAGTGCAAACACGAGTGGACTCGTGACCGTTCAACAACGTGTTAGCTGAACTCTGCATGGTAATGATCAAAGTTCTAGATAAAATAATTTTATTCTAGAGTTTTGACTTATTCTTTTACTTTTCAATATTGATATCGATCATAAGGATATATTTCATTCTAACTCGAATAACATTAATTGGTATACAATAACAAGACAAATAAAAAACAGATATTTTATTTGAACAATTATTCAAATAAAATTAATTAAGTAATTATTTATGGAAAATGTAATATACTATTTTACTTCATGCGTCAAAACAAGTTACACTAAACAAAAATGTCAAAGAAATTCCAATAACATGACTTAAAAATTCATTATCATCTATTTCGAGAAAAATCTCAAAAATATTTCAAGCTCGAAGGATTAATGCGAAACACGTCCTTCATCATAATTTCTTTTTTTTTTGCGTACAAGCACGACGTCCACGTTAGGAAGCATCGCATTTTAAATAGCCAAAGGGGTAAGAAAAGCACCGATGATATCCAAGGCTATGATAGCATTCGTGGAATGATAAATTGCGTGTCGGATGTACGGAGTAAAGTAGGTCCCCCGAAGGAGCATCACCCGAAGCACACGTGTAACAACAAAAAGGAATGGACTTCGGTTCACTCGCCAAAGCGAACTAGGAAACGTTTCCCTTCGCGAAATTGCCTAATCATCCGGGGTGCAAACAGGTGCAAGATTGCGATAGAGCGATATACGTTTATCTGTTACGCAGCGATAAAACTCGTCCGTCTTCCTGAACCAGTTAATTTTGCAACGCCGGATGCGCGCAGAGACAATTCCTTCACTGGAACGGTGAGTCTTCTCAAGCTGTTCGACAGACGAAAAATATTACTGGGCGATTTTATAGGCGCGGAATAAACCGATTCTCCTTTTTCTCTGTTATTATTGTATGAACATTACGTTTGATTTTATGTATAACTTGTATAAATGTATAAAATATTTGGAACAGATGTTTGGGCAATATTCAAAGATAGGATATTCAAGGAACTTACTAATTTTAGTATTAAGAAATAATTGTTTCACCGAATTGCGTTTGGCACAACTTGTTTTGTTTCACTTGATGAGTTCAATGGACCTATTGTACTTCACTTGCCGTTCAGAAACGTCTTGTACAATGAATTTGGAGCAGGTGCGATACCATTCAACAGCTGGAGAAACGTCTCCTCTATTCATATTAGGACCGTACAAGTGAATGAAATGTTCTTTTGTAGTTTGGATTTTGTAAAGATACTATGTAACACGACGCTTATTCGTACGTACTCTAGTAGACTGTAAAAGTTTCGACAGGTAAAAAGTAATACTCTTAATATTAAATTTTAATTCGTTAAAAAGAATTTTTGTCCTATCGTTACAATACAATTCACTTCACGCTTCGTTTCATGAAATATTTTCAAAGGAATCTTTGTTTCATTTCATCAAAGAACATTATACGGAATAATAACAAACAATTCTAAAAACCAAAAACAATCAAGTGATCTTCTCCACCCTCTAATTAAGGATGTTCGACACAAAAAAAGGATCTTTCACATCCTAATAATTTCGCCACAAAAAAAGTTTACTCCCTTCGCGACAGGGAACAACAGAACAATCGGCAAAGAATAAATAAAGAAACATCCTTTTCCGTGAACCAGCAAGAAGCGCAAACATCTCGAAGGAGGACTATTAAGGAAGAGTAACTGTTTTTCACCTGTCTCGTAATAACAAGGTAATGGGCATCTGCTGACAATGAAATCAGTATGTCCGACGGATGAATGCGTTAACGACCGGCCTCACCGATCCGATCTGATCCGATCCGATCCGATCGATGGATCGTTCGATCGTTGGTCCAGGGCAAGGTCCGGCTGCAAGAAATCCCTCGAACTAAAAATCAATCGGGGGCCTCCCAAAAACGAGCGCGACCGGGACGATCTCATTCGCTGACCAAATACGGGAAGAATACGAAACGATAGAGAATAACTGGTTTTCACTTTCATACGGCCGGGCAACCGAAC